GCTCTGATTTACCTTCCCCTGAACCTACAGGAACGACACACACACACACACACAGGGGGAGAGGAGGTAGTGGGAAAGGGACTAGTAAATCTTCCGTCCTTGTATTAAAATCTTTATTCCTGACAAAGATGACTCGCTGAATTTGCATGTGAATGTTGGGGACTGTTGGTGTTATACCTAGCCAGAGCATGGAAGAGGGAGAGAGAGAGAGAGAGAGAAGAAGGGAACGTTGAGAGAAATGAAAGAGAAACAGAGAGAGAAAGAATATAAATGGACGGGTAGAACGAGAAAGACAGAAGAGGTAAATATAGAAAGAGAGACATATGTAAGCAAAACACATATAAAACACACATACACCAATAGGAATCATATAGTCACACAAATAAATATATATATATAGACATGTAAACAGAAACAGAATGACAGAGATAGACAGAATGACAGACAGACAGACAGACAGTTGGTTATAAGGGAGACTACCGCAGGGGCTGGCACTAGAACATGTATTCAGTGTCACTCATATACCACCACCACCACTGACCACCACTATCACCTCCACCACCACCACTGACCACCACCACTGCACCACTACCACCACCACTACTACCACCACTGACCACCACTATCACCTCCCCACCACCACACCAGCCACCACCACTACTACCACTACCACCACCACTACTACCACCACCACTGGCCACCACTATCACCTCCACCACCACCACTGGCCACCACCACTACTGCCACTACACACACTACTACCACCACCACTGACCACCACTACTCACCACCACCACCACCACCACCACCTGACCACCACCACTACAACCACCACCACTACCACCACCACCACTATCACCTCCACCACCACCACCACTACTACCACCTACCACCACCACCACTACCACCACTACCACCACCACCACCACCACCACTATCACCTCCACCACCACCACCACTACTACCGCACCACCACCACCACCACCACCACTGACCACCACCACCACCACTACTACCACTACCACCACTACCACCACCACCACTACCACCACCACTACCACCACCACCACCACTGACCATTTACAAACTCTCCCTAATAAAGGTAAAGTTGTCTAAAAGGTGAATTTGTGACAAAACTCATCCTAGCCAAAAATCTTTAACCCAGCTATTAATAAAGACCACAACAGATGGTAAATATAAACTAATGTGTTATTCTCTACATAATAAAATATCAAAATTAAAACTACACTAAATGAAATAATTAATTTTTTCTGGTTTAATATAAATTATTATTATGATGTGTTAAGTCTTTTACGAGGAAATAATATTTTTTTTTACACTACAAGAACTCGATTGTGTCAGAACAAAGCAGAACAAAGGCATGATAAAGCACTATGATCTTTAGGTTAGGTCAGGTCAGGTCAGGTTAGGTTAGGTCAGGTCAGGTTAGGTTAGGTCAGGTCAGGTTAGGTTAAGTCAAGTCAGGTTAGGTTAGGTCAAGACTCGGTAGCCATTGAAGGTGCCATTGAGTGCCTCGACAGTATTGGAGGCTCACGAGACACACTTTTGACACCGTACATAACTGGTCAGGCTTCATCTGTGGTCATTCTTTAGCGAATGTGTCTGAAGCCTCTCTCTCTCTCTCTCTCTCTCTCTCTCTCTCTCTCTCTCTCTCTCCTATCGTCGTGTCTATCAGTAGTCAGATTGGCAATTAAGAATCTATTGTCCTTACTATCTATTTTTTGTCGTTCTGTTCATCTATCTGTGGTTGTACTGCCGTCGTTCCGTCACGCACAGGTTGTCTATTGCCTGTTGGTCTGTGCTTACCTGTGACCTTGCATACAATATTCACCTGTTCACCACCTGTCTTTATCAATATATTGCTCTTGTGATTCTTGTCCAGGTAGTGATATAAATATATACTGTATATATATAATTTTTTTAGGTAGTGGATATTTAACAATTTTTCCCCCATTTAAATATTTTTAATTAGACTTTTACTTTATACTTTAATTTGTAAATTGAGTTTGAAATTGAAATCAAATTTGAGCGTGAATGTCAACAGAATAACAGCGGCTCTTTTAAAACTTGTGTTGTGTTGTGTTGTGTGCTTTTGATTCTGAGTGATGAAATAGTTTTGTGTGACGTTAAAATACCTGTATACAAACGTGTGTGTGTGTGTGTGTGTGTGTGTTCTGTTAATAGCACTTGTATTAAAACGTGCATTTGTGTATGTGTGTGTGTTCGTGCTATATGTATGTGCGTATCTGTGTGTGTTTGTATCAGTTTGTGTGCGTTTTTGTCTTTCTGTGTGTGCATGTGTGTATAACTGCGTCTATTTGTGTGAAATCAAACTCGTGTTCGTGATTCTGTTTCCTCGCACACACACACAGACACACACACACACACACACACACACACACACACACAGACACACACACACACACACACACACACACACAGACACACACAGACACACACACACACACACACACACAGACACACACACACACACACACACACACACACACACACACACACACACACACACACACACACACACACACACACACAGACACACACACACACAGACACACACACACACACACACACACACACACACGACACACACACACACACACAGACACACACACACACACACACACACACACACACACACAGACACACACACACACACACACACACACACACAGACACACACAGACACAGACACACACACCATGTATCATGTATCAGGGTGAAACAAGAGGTTGAGGAAGACACATAAGTATTTTTCCTTCATAACTCTTGTGTTAATAATGATAAAAAAATATAACCCTCTGAAAGTTTGAAGCAAATTACACAGTTCATTGGAGGGTGATAGTGTTTGACGGTGAAAGAAGTGTGTGACGATGAAACAACAGTGAAAGACGACATAAAAATGAAAGAATAGTATTGAAAGAATGAAGAGACATATAGACAATACATAAATAACGAAAGAAATTGAAGTAACTCGATAATATAAACTGGAAAACATATACTGAAAAATACACTCATATAAACTCAGGGACGAAGGCAAGAGTTGGACAAAATAGTAGAGTTGGACAAAATCGTAATGATAGGTTAGACAAAACATTTATAGGTTCGACAAAATATTAAGATTGGTTGGCCAGTTGGACAAAATAGTAAAAATTGGGTTGAACAGTAATACGGGGAGAGTAACACGGGGGAGAGAGTAACACGGGAGAGAGTAACACGGGGAGAGAAAGAGAGTAACACGGGGGAGAGAAGTACAGGAAGTAACACGGGGAGAGAATAACACGAGGAGAAGAGTAACACAGGGAGAGAAGTAACACAGGGAGAAGAGTAACACAGGGAAGAGAAAGGAAGTAACGGGGGGAGAAAGAGTAACACGGGGAAGAGAGTAAGCCACGGGAGAGAGAGAGAGTAACACAGGAGAGAGTAACACAGGGAGAAAAGTAACACGGGGAAAGAGAGTAACACGGAGAGAGAGTAACACGGGAAGTAACACGGGAGAGAGAGTAACACGGGGAAAGAGTACACAGGGGAAAGAAGTAACACAGGGGGGAAAGGAAGTAACACGGGGAAAGAGAGTAACACGGGAGAGAGAGAGTAACACAGGAGAGAGTAACACAGGGAGAGGAAGTAACACGGGGGATTAACAGCATCGTACCAACAGTTAACATCATCATTACCAGCAGTTAACAGCATCATTACCAACAGTTAACATCATCGTACCAACAGTTAACATCATCATTACCAACAGTTAACAGCATCATTACCAACAGTTAACAGCATCATTACCAACAGTTAACAGCATCATTACCAACAGTTAACATCATCATTACCAACAGTTAACAGCATCATTACCAACAGTTAACATCATCATTACCAACAGTTAACATCATCATTACCAACAGTTAACAGCATCATTACCAACAGTTAACAGCATCATTACCAACAGTTAACAGCATCATTACCAACAGTTAACATCATCATTACCAACAGTTAACATCATCATTACCAACAGTTAACAGCATCATTACCAACAGTTAACAGCATCATTACCAACAGTTAACAGCATTACCAACAGTTAACAGCATCAAGGAGTAAGGAACCCTGACAGCAACAGCACCGCCATTACCAGGAACAGCAGCAGTAAGCGACAATAGAAACCGCACCATCACCGCCACCTTCAGGAGCGGTGATACTAAGAGAGACAGCTGCGCCACTACCACCATCAACACCACTACTACCATCACCATCACTACCACCACTACCATCATCACCATCACCACAACTACCACCACTATCACCATTACTACCACCACTACTACCATTATAACCACCATTATCACCATCACTACTACCATCACCATTAATACTCTCACCATTACGAATCATCATCATCACTACCACTACCACCACCAGTAGTAGGAACAAGAACAGCAGAACTACACTGGGTCAACATTTACCTTTGGTCTTCTCAAACTAGGTCACTCTACCACGGGGTTACCAGGTGAATCGCATTTCTCCATACCTAAACCCCGTAAATACTTCACTATTTGTCTTAGGTAACTCTTCCTTTAATCACGTACAGGTATATATGACAATGTTTACACCTGTACCTGGGTAGACACCTTGTTCTCGTGTACCTGGAGAAAGGTGGGAATATAATGAGAACTTTGTTTTTTTTTTGTTTTTTTTTGGTTTAAAGCACACGGGTATGTTTTTCTTTTATTTATTTTTATAACGTCACATGTAGAGGGTTTCTCACTTCACTTGATTTTTTTTATTTTAATGTTTGAGTTAAATTATTGTGGGAAAATGGAGACAGAACAGGTGACCACAACAGGAACTTATTCTCGTTAGTTGTAAGTCAATGTTTGGCCTGACAACACACCGGTAAAGTCGACTGAATTTATACCGATATTATAAAATAAAAGAAAAACAATAAAGTGATTGATAATTTTAGGCACCGTTCGAAATCATCCGAGGCGAACCGGAACCAGCGCGAATGAACCGGTTGGCGCGAGACTCCGGTTGCCGAGTGAACCGGGCAGAGGCAGCCGCGTGACTGAGCCGAGCTAGGGAGTGCCAGGCAGAGAGGCACCTCCCGAGCCACACAGTTGCCAGCGTCTGCCACCTGCCCAGGGCGAGGCCGGACACCCAGGCCGCGGCAGACTCACGTGTATGAGGGATGTTACGTATGGCAGATCTAAACAATGAACGGATGCTCATACACTCATACGTGTTCCCTCCTAACACACACACACACACACACACACACACACACACACACACACTGATTGCTATATCCCTTATTTCGCTTGGGTCGCGGGATAAGGGGAGGGAAAAAAGTAAAAATCCCAAGAGTGACAACTAGGAGTGTGGTGGGTGAGGGTGATTAAAGTGTGGCATACAAGACGATGATGACGATGATGACGGTGATGACGACGGTGATGATGACGGCGATAATGGTGGTGGTGGTGGTGATGTGTGTGTTGGGGGTAGGTGGGGGTCAGTGATAAGTTGGTAGCATCAACTCGTTCGCCTCGGCTGGTGGTGTGGCTCGCTACAAATGGTGTTTATGGATGAGTAATGGTCGTACTCCAAGATGGTCCCACTCCAATGAGTCCCTCGGTCTATATGTCATCCTTAGAAGACTCTGTCACCTCTCAGCCTGTGTTGACAATGAGATATTCTTCCGTGATATAAAACTGTTCCTTTAGGGTGAGGGTGGGTGTGAGTGGGTTACTTCTCCAGCAAGGAGGGCCAACCCCAAGCAGGGAGGGCCGCCCCCCAGCAGGGAGGGCCGCCCCCCAGAAGGGAGGGCCGCCCCCCAGCAGGGAGGGCCACCCCCCAGCAGGGAGGGCCACTCCCAGCAGGGAGGGCCGCCCCCCAGCAGGGAGGGCCGCCCCCCAGCAGGGAGGGCCGCCCCCAGCAGGGAGGGTCTCCCCCAGCAGGGAGGGCCGCCCCCCAGCAGGGAGGGCCGCCCCCCAGCAGGGAGGGCCGCCCCCCAGCAGGGAGGGCCACCCCCAGCAGGGAGGGCCACCCCCAGCAGGGAGGGCCGCCCCCCAGCAGGGTGGGGATTAACAACACTAGTATGGGCCACACTATCCATACCAGTTAGTTGTTGTTAATATGTGTGTGTCTAATCTCTGTTTCCAGTAAAGTATTAATTTTCATTTAAAAGTTAGTTTTCATTAGCATATAAAGTGTGACACCGGATTTGTTATGTTTTATTTACTGTTGTACTGTGTTTGTGTCGTGTAGTGTAGCTATGATGAGTAAGGTCCATCATTGTTGTTATATAATATAATATAAATAACTCGGAAGATTGTTCATGCATGTTATGAAATCACATTTTGCCTTCCTGTTTAATCCATAAAATTATTATGAAAATATAGTAGCCACTGGCAGCTATTGTTCCGGTAATGATACACAAACTCTCACCGATATTTTAATGTATTTGTGTATCAGTATGTAATGCAGTTCATATTTATATTGTAATGTAAATAATTTTATATACAAATTACAATTTTATTTACAATAACTTTAAAAGTATTTGCATACAGAGAATAAATACTTATGTAAGTGGACTTTGTTACATTAAAGAACACAAGCAAAAACTAATTACCAAAAATTTGTTTTATCTGCCGGCAAAACACAACAAATTTCTGGCCTGGAACCAACCATTTACAATATGATTTCTCAGGACAATGGCTCTTTGTGTCGCTTGGCCTCCCACATCTGGGTTAAAACTTCGTATGGCGGAGGGAAGACTTGGCCAAATTTTCATTTCTCATTATTTAAGATTTATTTAATTTGATGCATCAGTCCTTCTTTTGCCTTCTTTATTTTCACCTATGTTTTACCCCGAAACATAGGAGGTGTGGCGTAAGGTGTAGTGATTCAGAGGTCGACAGCACGACGCGGTACAGGTGTAGTGATTCAGAGGTAGACAGCACGACGCGGTACAGGTGTAGTGATTCAGAGGTAGACAGCACGACGCGGTACAGGTGTAGTGATTCAGAGGTCGACAGCACGACGCGGTACAGGTGTAGTGATTCAGAGGTAGACAGCACGACGCGGTACAGGTGAAGTGATTCAGAGGTAGACAGCACGACGCGGTACAGTAATGATTATTATGTAAGATAAAGGTAAATGCTTGGGTATATGCGATAGAATATATTGTTTCAGTGTGAGATTTTATAGAATAACATCTGAGAAATTTACGGATTATGGTAAATCGAAGTTAAGAAGAATATATTGAATACGATGTAGTTTTAACTCATTATATATATACGAGTGTACACAATTTTTCACCATCTTTATATATTTTTAACTTCACTGTACATAATTTCAAATTTTCCTTCCTGCGTGTGAGGTTCCAATATTCTCCTAAGACGTCATGCAAGCCGACAGACACACGCATCACTACAATGGTTTATTATTGCCAATGTAGTGTTCCCTAGACCTAACTGACACACCAGACAGAGGAACAAATGGTTGATAATATGACTGTTTGTTCCCACCCTCGTCCTCTGTGTGTGTGTGTGTGTGTGTGTGTGTGTGTGTGTGTGTGTGTGTGTGTGTGTGTGTGTGTCCTTGCATTTCTGGGGGTGGTATCGTCAGGTCATGCTCGGTGTTCTTAAGAAATTATAAGAAAACATATGATTGGTCGAGAGGTTCCCCGTGAGTCTCGGAAGTGTGTTGAAGCTGTCTTAGTAATTTTAGCTGTTTTTAGTATTTCTTAGCTGCCCCCAGTAATATTTTTAGCTGTTTTTATTGTTTTAGTGGATTTTTAGTGGGTTTAGCTTTTTTTTTAATGTTTAGCTTATTTTTAATGTTATTTTTAGCTGATTTAAATTGTTATTTTTCGCTGTTTTTTATCAGTTTTTTCCCGTTTTTTTTTCTCTGATCAAAATTTGGATGTTTTTTTTTACTAAGTTTTATCACAAACGAAATATTCCTCTTATCAAATGTCTCTCTCTCTCTCTCTCTCTCTCTCTCTCTCTCTCTCTCTCTCTTTTACCGGAGTACCCACTAGTGAATTAGCGGCATCACGGCCAGATAACTCGAGGTGGGGAAGCCTTGCCTCAAGATTTGTTGGTTCGCTTCTCGGTAATACCATCACTCACTTTGGCCGGGATATTGTTCACTACCTTACGACCCTAATAAGTATAAAGTTGGTGATTGTTGTGTTGGGTTGCCGTGTACAGAGTTTGTTTGAGTGTTGCTTGTATGTGTTGCTTGTGAGTGTGTTGCTTGTGTGTGTGTGTTGCTTGTGTGTGTGTGTTGCTTGTGTATTACTTGTGTGTATGTTACTTGTATATGTGAGTTACTTATATAGCTTGTGCGTTGCTTGGGGGGGAAGTCGGTATTGCCTACTAATGCTTGCAGGTTAAATCACCCTCTGATCATTGTTGTAAATCATGTGGAGTTTTGCTGTAGATCGTTGTGGCTTAGAGCGAGGAGTGTATATTGCCTTATAGTGCTTGTTTGGTGTATAACTCGTGGCTTTGGTCTGGGGATTGGTTGCTGCTTCCTAATCCCTGGTTCAATTTAATCTCTTAGTTATTGGTGTACATCATGAATCTGTGAGGGAGTATGAGGGAGTATGAGGGGGTGTTCAGAAAGACGTGAGAGGGAGTGAGATGAGTGTTAGGAAGAGTAAGGGAGAATGGAGGGAATTTAAGGGAGTGTAAGGGAGATTAAACACGGGGTGAGGCTAGGAGACGGTAATGGTGTTCTGATTTAATGGTGATAAATGAAATGAGACTCAATGGTGCCAAGAGTGAGGTACACACACACACACACACACACACACACACACACACACACACACACACACACACACATGCACGTCACGTATTATAAACAATGACATTTACGTACATACACTGATGATACAAAAGTTAGTTATTGAACCAAATAATATCATTAACGAGGATGTGATTACTAAACAGAGTTGACTGACTAACTGTGATTGACTGTGATTGACTGACTGGCTAGCTGGAGGACTGACTGACTAATTAATTGACTGGTTTACTGAATAATTAACTATTGAAATGACTGCCTGTTGGAAAAACTGACTGACTAATTGACTAACTGGCTGATTTGACTGTTTAAATAACTTACTTGGTGACTAACGGACTAAAACACACACACACACACACACACAAACACACACAAACACACACACACACACACACACACACACACACACACACACACACACACACACACACACACACACACACACACACACACACACATACATACTGACATTCACAATTTCTTTACTGAATTTTAAAAGCTTCCTCAGTCGTTAAAGGTCCGATGAGCCTTGACATCGGGGAGAGGAAGTGCTAGCCAGTGCATCAGGTTGGGGAGGGGCTGGGGAGAACAGGGAGGAGCTGGGGAGAACAGGGAGGGGCTGGGAACGGGGAGGGGCTGGGAAGAGCAGGGAAGGGGCTGGGGGAACTGGGAGGAGCTGGGGAGAACAGGGGAGGAGCTAGGCAGAACGAGGAGGAGCTTGTGAGAACAGGAGGGGCTGGAGGAACGGGGAGGGGCTGGAGAGAAAGGGGGAGGAGCTGGGCAGAACGAGGCTTGTGAGAATGGGGAGGGCTGGGGGGAGCGAGGGGAGGCTGGGGGGGAGAACGGGGAAAGAGCTGGGGGAGGTTGGGTAGAGAACTAGAGAGAGAGGAGAAAGTTGAAGAGGTTTGGGAGAAGCTGGGGAGATTGGAGAGAGACTGGGAGGAACGGAGAACATTAGGCGAGAATGGGGAGACCTACTGGACACTGGGGAGAAGTTAGGAGAGTCTGGGGAGGAGGGGCGGGGAGAGTTTGGTGAGCGACTACACACTGGGGAGGAGTTGGGAGAAGAGGCTGTAGAGGAGGAAAATCAGGAGAGAGAGAGATAGGAGACTGTGTTAGGTAGACAGAGCCGAGAGAGGCGTTGAGCTTGAATATAATCTGGGATTGAGAAACTTTGTGTGAGCCGTCAGGACAAGTTTGTGCGGATCTCTCTCTCTCTCTCTCTCTCTCTCTCTTCTCTCTCTCCATCATAGTGATAATGAAGATAACTAG